TCAACACACCAGCAACTAGCAGAGACAGAACCACTTCCCGAAGCAGTGTGAATATTTTCCAAAACCCGTCATCAGTCATGAGATGCTCCGCCTCTACACAATCACTGACCCTGTTCTGATGCCTCCTTCTCCATAAGCTCGTCTCAATTGTATGCTGTGCCCACCGTAAACGGCCACGGGGCTACGGGAAGGCTGGGTATAACAACCTCGCTACGTACCTGTTTGGTTAGATGTAGGCGGCGAACTCGAAGGACAATTTGTCCAATGCCGCGCAAAATATGGAACAAGCCTAACCACCTTGACATTGTTCCCCCAGCTTAAAAGTTCCTTATGTTGTTCGTGGATGAACAGTGACTTAGAGTGGGCTTCTTTCAACCGACATTGTTCGCCAAGGTGACCTCCTCGAGATGAGGGTCTGAGATGTCGACTAACACAGGCTGCCCCTTTCCTCTTGACAACCGCCTCACCTCCTATTCGGTGCAATGACGCACCAGCGGGGATTTGTTGACCGAGGCTCGAACTGGATGTCCACAAACCTTTCAAGGCAACTGTTCGTGTCGCTATCACCAGACTCCCGGCCCTCGCAGCATTACACAACGACGGACAAGCCACTGACGCTCAGCGTTGCGCGTCCCGTTGTGTCCCCCACATGACAGGTGCTGTCAGCCTGCGAGGCAACAAGAATGCGGCCGTCTTGGCGGCCGCACAGGAGGGGGGGTGGGGGGAGCTGCATTCCATCTGGGGTGGGCCAATGACTCATGCCGCAGAGGTCACCGAGAACAGTCACCTTGGACATGGCGCACCGATCCCGATCGACACGCCCTCCCCACGACAAGACGAGCAACAGGTCGGGTCATTGGGAGGAAGGCACAAAGTTCAAGCCATGAAGAGACAAAAAGTAAACCGAAAAATGTCAACGTATTATCATTGTACGGATATGTCCCATGGTATCTTCCGTAACGCCATTGCCAAACCCGTCGGCAGCCCCCCAAACACCGTGTCAAATCGTCCCAATGTTTTCCCCCGTGACCGTCTCGTCCCGAGATCATGCCCAAGTAAACGTAAATCATAAACCATGAAACCCTCGTAAAGCTCATACATGCTTCAAGAGCCGCCTATACTTCTCCATGGCCAGATCCCGATCGTTGGCCTTCCACCTCAGCCGCTGGTCCTCATCGATGGTGATGGCATCAGCATCCCTGCCGGCCAGCGTGCCCGGGGCCGGGGTGACGGGGACGGCCTGGCGGACCAGGTCGCCGAGCAGGCCCTTGTGGGGCACGCCGCACCACTCGGCCTCGTAGACGAGCCACTCGCCGAGGCTCTTGAGCTGGGGCTTCTGGGCCGGGTCGAGGGCGACGCCGGCGCCGCAGCTCAGGCGGGCGAGGCAGCCGACCAGCAGGACCCAGGCGGTGACCTCGGGGGCGGTGGTGGCGCCGGGGGGCTGGCGGAAGGCGACGGCGCCGAGGCCGGCCCCCTCGTTGAGCCCGACAAAGGCCCAGCGGTAGGCGTCGTGCTGGAAGTCGGCGCCGGGCCGGGCCCCGAGCGCCGCCCCCGTCGCCGAGTCCGCCCCGCACCAGTTCATGCGCGCCCCGAGCGCCTCGCACGTCGTCTGCGCCTCCACCCGCTCGAAGCACTCGGCCATAGGCAACCCCTCGAAGTAGTGGTTGTGCCGGTTGCTCTTGGCCCACACGCTCTTGCGCCGGTACGGCGGCACCAGCGCGTCCAGGCACCGCTCGAAGTACAGCGCCGACTTGGCGAGGCCCTTGGCCTGGTTGAGCTCCCAGTACCCCGACACGGGCGTGATGTGGATGTGTGTGAAGCATTGGTGGGTCGTGGTGAGCTCGAAGTGGGTGTTGAGCGTGTTCATGACCCCGCGTAGCTCCGACTGCCACGACTCGGGCCGCTTGGCGAAGCGCATGAAGGGCGACACGAGCTTCATGCCGAAGCGGTGATCGTTGGGGCGCGACGGGATGCACAGCTCGCTGGCGATGGTCCACTGGCGGGATGAGACGGGCGAGGTGTGGGTGCTGGCGAGGTGGTTGGCGATCCCGGCGCGGGTGAGTTGTGTGCTGATCTCGTCCTCGAGGCCGGTGACGGTCTTGTGGTTGCGTTTCCTGCTGCGGATGACGAGGCCGAGCTCGACGCAGAAGCGGAAGTCAGGGGCCTCCACCGGGCGAACCTCCTGACGGCGGGACTGGCTGCTGGTGGCCCATTCCCATGCGTAGTGTGGTTGGGGCTCATCGTAGCGACGACGATGATGACCCGCCTCGGGAGCCACATAGGAGTAGTGCGGCATGGTGGGTAGTTATCAAGTGACTGTTGTGACAGTTGGTTGATGTTGGAAGTCGTCGTCGATGGTTGTGATGGATGGCTGTGATGGAACAATGGCTTGTGGTCATGACCCGGGGTGGTCAAGGTCGAGGGGGCCAAGGACCCTATATACTCGAAGCTCGTCCATGATCGTCTGGTGGAGGGCGCGCATCCTCAGAAATTACTGATTACCGTGTTCTGCCTGGAGTCCTAGATTGGTGTCAGAGGCGGGACCAGAGGACGGAGTCACGGTGAGGACGTCACTTGCATTCCAGGTTGTGTCCGGGTGGGACCGCTGTGTTCTGCGGGGTGGGCCGCCGGATGGCTCAGCGCGGGCTCATGGGAGGGAACCAATCCCGAGCCCTCTCGAGCCCTCTCGAGCCAATCTGGACCGCTCAATCCGATCGCGCGCCATGCAGGTTGACGGAGAAGAGTGAGGACAGGCAGGAGGTGGGGGAGGGGCCATCGGCCGCGACCAGGCAACAGCCAGCGAATCAGGTCGCACAATGCCACAAGGCAGGAGACAAGGTGAAATTCCCAAAGCGGCCAGCCCAGAATCGGAAGTCCTCAGGCCCCACCCCAGCGGTCTGCGCCTTCCAAAAATATGCGGTTCGTCCTGGAGTCCTGTCAGGCCGCTGGGACCCACTGCCAGCCGGCCAGTCTCCCGAGGCCGCCAGGCGGCTATGGCTGCAAGCTTCCATTTTCCAGGGGGTTTCCCCCCACAACCTCGCGCAGGCTCAGCCTCTATTTTCTACATGAAACACAAAGCATTGGGCAGTACCGCCCCGTTGTGAGCATCTAGCGGACCCGACAGAACGGAACCGAGTCCTTGGACGCATCCATAAGGAGCAGCCACTTTCTTGCCCGAGACTCGCGGGACGCGCGCGACTAGATTACGCTAGAGCAGCGAGGACAGAGGCGCTCGAGTTTCCCGTCCTAGCGCTGGGGGTCGTGAAGGACAGCCAACAGTCAAGCTAAGTTTCAGGGAAGGGATCTAGTTGGGAGTATTGAGGTCTGATTAGTACCGGGAACAATACGCTGAGTCGTGCTCATTCTTCAAAGCGCTTGGTAGATGGGTCGGTTGACGGTTCAAGCTCAAGTTCCATCCAGATCATTTTTAGATGCAGATCGCATGGCAACGGGGACTCACGGCTTCGGGACAGAATACCCGATTCGCAGCAGGCTGTTTCGTCAGGCGCGGAATCACGGCGGCAGTGGGTTTTACTGAGTGTTTCGTGAACTCTTGTTCTATTCTATTTTTACTTCCTGTGCCGGGTTCCAAATCCCGGGAGCCCGGACATCTAGTATCCTAACAGACCAGCTGTTCTAATGAGTCGTCTAACCTTCATGGACGGCATCAATCGTGTAACCTTCATGCGTGGCATCAATCGTAAACCCTCATGGGTGCCATCAGTCGTGTAACCCTCGTTTGTCTCCAGTTCTCCCTCTCAACCTCCTCCGACGCGACCTTCCCTGTCATTATCGGCAGGTCCCAAGCCAAAGCCAATGATCTGCTTCAGGGCCTTGGCTTCATTAAATATTAACGAGTATCCGTGTCAGTCCCTACAGGAGATGCCTCCTCTTCCTCAAATGCTTCGTTGTCCGTCTCCGTGGTTGAAAATTCCTCGTCCTTGGAGGGCTCTTCCTCGGAGTCGGCGATCAGCAACGCGAACAAAGCCGCAAGCAATCTCTGTTCGGGTGTTTCTTTTTCTTCTTCCCCCTCCTCTTCTTCTTGGCCCTCTTCTTCTTCTTGCCCCTCTTCTTCGTCTTCTATGTCTTCCCCAGTTTCCCATGCAGGCAAGCCATGTGCCTCCATGAACTCGGACTCGGACTCAGACTCGGTGAGCAAGGGCCACTCAGGACTGGTCATGGGCGATTCCCCATTGCGGTAGATAGAAACGTATTCAATGGTGAAATCCTTTCGACCCTTCAGCCAGTGCGCGCTGCGAAGCATCCTCCTTTCCAGTTTCCTCTCGCATTTGGGGCAAAGCTCGTCCTCCTTCAAGACCTTTCGGGACCTCTTGTGGTCGCTCCACCCATACTTTCGGACTGTTATCCCATACTTTACGATGTGACAGCGATAAACTACAGTTTGAGGAAAACTGTACGTTGGGGAGGACATGGCTGCACGCTTTGCCCTGAGACACTGCCTCCTTCTCACCGAGCCGGTGTATCCCTGACCTAACCGACGAAGTAGAAAATAGGGGCCGTGGCTGGAGCGCAAACTGCGAATCTGTAAGGGCAATGGCCTCCTAGTTATAGTATTACCGATTAATCAAGCCTGCCTTGGGATTATACACACTGTATTCCGCGACTGTCTCGGTATGAGGGGGTTGTTCAACGGTCAACCCTAAGAAGGGGATTTGGATAAGGCCAAAGATTAGCCAAACAAACAGAGCATTACAGAGTACTTCTTCAGATTTCATTTACGGTGGTTGTGGTAATACGGAGCCTGATCTTTATCTTTCTTTTATTGCAAGAAGACTAAGAGGAAGAAGAGGATTGAGTCGAGGGGTAGCGAGGACCTAGCTTAGGTAATATTCTCGGTTAATCCAGTACTCCTATACATCCTCTAAAGGTAAAATGAAGAGAGTAATACCAATAGGCCGGGGTAAAACACTAAGCGAGGGCTTTCCCAGCTAGAAACGCGCATCTAGGCAAAAAGTCATGCAGTGGAAAGCAAAAGTAAACGACCAGACTGGGATTCGAACCCAGAACCTTTACCATGTTCCTGTACCGGAAAGTAACGCGCTACCATTGCGCCATCCAGCCGACGATTGACATGTTGTCAGAGTAGAATACACATATTGTTGATTTCAGGGAGGCACGAAAGCCAACGACGATTTCCTCGGCCGAGTCCTGTCAACAAATCTTTGGGACCACCACTCTATGTTCTATCAATTGATGAATCTTTTAAACGAGACACTCTGACCATTGTTTTCCTAAAGCTCTTATCCTTTTTCTCTACTCCAATGGGCGTCCCTATCGAAAAATAGGCACCTTCTTAGAAACCTTAACTTCTATCTCGTGTGTTAGGTTGTTATAGACTGGTTTAGCTGATACTCTGAGAGGTGGATTAGCATATTAGTGAACGGACAATAGGACTCATAGTTGGTGTGTTCTTTGTAAGATGGTCCATTGTCTCGATTGGGTGTGTGTATTTCACCTGTGTCGAGGGCTATGATATTGCAATATGGTTAATACTTGGATTAGGAGTTGAAATAACCACGAGAATGAAAAACGATAGCGGGGATGATTATTTCATATTCATGTCGTGATGAACGGAATACAAGACGGGAGGCAGGCTGCTGAGACAAGATCTATTTTATCTATTGCGTACCCAACTTTCCATTTCTTCGCTCTACAATGCGGGCAGACCAACCAACCAGCCTTCGGGTATCATAACCAAACATGGCTGAAGTCCAAACAGTCCAACAATCCAAACATCTAAGCAAGCCAGAACCACACCCTCTGCAAAAAGTTCTTGGGCACCGGCGGGTGGTCGTTGGCGCAAAACTCATCCATCTCCCTCTTGCCCGTGATGACATCGATGTCGTGCACGTTCCTGAGCCACGGCGTCCGGAACCACAACTTGTGTCCAAAGTACAGCACCAGGAAGATGGGGATGGTGATGTAGGCGGCCAGGAAATCGCCGACGTTCCACTGGGCAAAGACCTGGAACCCGTTGGTGAGGGTCAGCAGGGTGATGATCACCAGCGTGACCCACGCGGCGTACGGTTGGCCGATGGTGCGGAAGGGGAGCGTGCTCAGCAGGCCCTGGGTCTGCATGGCCTTGCGGAAGCGCAGGTAGGTGACGATGACGACGATCCAGGCGATGAAGCCTGAGATGGTCGAGATGTTCATGAACCAGAGGAACACCGTCGCGCCGCTCTGGGACACGTTGAGGTAGGCGAGTAGGCCGACAGCCCAGGTGGCGAGGACGGCGGCGTAGGGGACGCCGCGCTTGGTGGTCCGGGCGAAGACCTTGGGTGCTTGGCCAGTGGCGGCCATCGAGTAGAGGATACGGGAGCCCGAGTAGAGGAAAGCGTTGCCGGCGGACCAGGCCGAGGTCAGGATAGCCGCGTTGATGACGTGGTTGAGGCCGCCGATGCCGGCACGCTGGATGCCGATGACCCAGGGGCTGGCGCTGGCGTTGGCAGTCTCGGTAAGCAGTCGGTCGTCGTCGTAGGGCACGATGGCGCCAATGATCAAACTGCTGACGCCGTAAAAGAGGGCAAGGCGGGCGAGGAAGCGGCGCGCGGCCTTGGGGATGTTGCGGCGGGGTGCGACGGTCTCGCCGGCGGCGAGGCCAATGAGCTCAGGGGACGTGATGAAGCTGAAGCCGGCGCGGACGAAGGCGGTCCAGTAGGCGGTAAATCGTCCGGTGGCGCCTGTCCCGACGTATTCCTTGAAGGCGCCGGGGTTGTTCCAGTACGTGAACCCAATGGCCCCGACTCCAGGCGCCCCGCCAGCCATGATGACAATGCCAACGATGACCAGGCCGATAATGGTGATGATCTTGATGCTGGCAAACCAAAACTCGGCTTCACCAAAAACCTCGACGGCGATGATGTTGAGAGCGAGGCAGACAACCAGGATGATGGTAATCCATACTGCTGAATGGACCGGCGTGTCCCAGTAGTCGATCAAGATGGCGCCTGCCGAGGCCTCGGCAGCGACCAGAATCGCATACGCGTACCAGTAGTTCCACCCCGAGGCGAACGCCAGGCTACTGTCGACGTAACGGTTCGTGAAGTAGGGCAAGGTGATGCCTTTCATGGGCAGATATGTCGTCATTTCGGCAATGGTGTTCATGACGATCCAAACCACCAGCATCATGGAGAGATAGCCGAGCCATAATGGTACCGGGCCGACCTTGGCCAGAATTGCACCGGACCCGACAAAAAGGCCTGTCCCGATGCTGTTGATTCGTAATGTGTCAGAGGGCCGGGCCGGCGGTGGAGGATGGGAGGAGATGGGATGGACTCACGCGCCACCGAGAGCTAGGAATTGAATGTGCCGACTCTTGAGACCGCGTTCCAACTGCGTGGCTTCGTCCAGGGAAACGACGCCGTCGATCACCTGCGAGCCGCCCAGGGCCTCGTCGGCGCTCGGCTTCTCGTCGAACCCCTCGTTCTTCATTTTGATGTGGCGGGAAGCTGCTTGGTGGAAACCCGGGCAGCACTTGCTTGGGTGGGAGAAGGCAAGGAGGGATTGCGGCAGTATTTGAACGCGTCGCTTATCTTGGATGGCCTGCACCCCACAGCGACAGGTGGGTGCGATTCAAGTTGGATACGACGCAGGCGGGGGAAGCGATGAGTAGGACCCACGACTCTGCGGAAAAGCTGGGGATCTGAGAGGAGTGGTGGTGGAGGAGGTTGGGTAGTACCCGGCCGTTATTTCAGGGCTTGGGATTCTGGAGGGCCGTAAATCCTGGACCGTTGTTGTGCGGTAGTGGCAAAGGACTGGGCAGCAGAGGAGGCAAGACATGCGCCAAAACATGCCATCCTGGTTCCCACGCGAGGAAGTGCACCGCATCTTGTCGGGCGAACTGCTGACGGCATCAGTCCGGAGCGGGCGACTCGCTAGGCACGTGAGGGTCAAACATGGGAACGGGGATTGCCGGACCAATGCAGCCATGGAGCCATGGAGCCACGGAGCCGTGTCCGGGGAAGAGGATAGATGGATCAAGGATGGAAAGAAACTCCGGCAGACGGCAGCCATCGCCGGGGTTACGCCGTCGCAAGTCTCGGTTTGGGGGCAAAAGCCGGTCGGTGAGAGAATCGACGACCTTCCTAATTGGCAATGGGCCAATCTTTGAACAATCCTTCCCATGCTAGGCAATGCAGCACGCTGATCTTGTGACCCACAGGCCAAGCTAATCGTCGTGCATTGTCGGGGACTTGGCTTGGTTGAGTGGTTCAACCGCGACTATCCGAAGACCAAGACTCCAAGCATGATAAGCACCAGGTAAGCACGGGGATTGTGTGCGGGTTTGATGGTCGTCGGTAGAGAAAGGAGTTAAAGTAGCTACTACTCATGGAACTTATTGACCCCGGTTCCCTCTTTCAGTGGTGCCGGACGACAGGATGGGCGATTTTCCCTTCGAAAGGTGGAGGCCCGGGCAGTTGCCGCCAAGAACACAAACCCCGCGGTGCGATTGACTCGGGGTGAGGTCGGCATTGAGTTTGCCCAGGCCCAGGCCCAGGCCAGAGCTTCTGAAGACAAATCCGCGTTGAACATTGTTTATCGATACAGATTGTCTGCTAAGAGGAAGCTAATAGAGAGCTCCAACATAATTTTTTATACCATACCCTGGGTATCTCCCACTCATCTGCTCTAGTCGCCCCTGTCATCCCGATTGTATGTACATACTTGTCATGTATGATGTATATTTGTATCTCCGATGCCGCTGGCCCCCTGGAATAGGTAGCAGCCGAGTTGCGTTGATCAACTGGTAGCATTGGTAGCATTGATCAACCCAACATCGGGTATTATCGCCTCAGCACTCAGTACCTGCGCCTGAACTAATGCACCGAATGCTTCGAGAACTTCCGTGAACCCGGCAAGCACGGAGGTAGCCAACCAACCAGTAACTCGGAGTGGCTCTCAGCAGTCGCACCTCACTTTCCCAGTTCCCCCCACAGAGATACCGCAAGATGACGGGGTTCGCCCGCCCCGCCTGCAAGTGGGTCTTGAGTGGTTGAGACGCCATGGACACCTGTACAACGCTGCGCAGGTCTGATAACGCGAGTCGGACAACCTGTTATTGAGATACATGTAGTGAATGAATCACATAATATCTCGAGCGGTAGCTGGGACGGGAGGATATTCTTCCGTTTTCACTCTCACTCTTCACTCTGGAAACTGCTCGTCCAATCAAGGTTGCTCTGAGAAGGAAGGTGAGCCTGAAATTAGGTGCATATTTGTTGCCTTGCTCCTGGAACCGTAGTCGACTTTCACCTCGACCAGACAACATATGCTTCAAACACGTCCCGACCTGTCACTCTACGGCCGGATGGCGCAATGGTAGCGCGTTACTTTCCGGATAGGAATATGGTAAAGGTTCTGGGTTCGAATCCCAGTTTGGTCGTTTACTTTTGCTCTCCACTGCATGACTTTTTGTGTGGATGCTCCGAGTTAGAAAAGCCTAACCAAGCATGAATGCTTCGTAAGTTGAGCGCTTCCGCAAGCCCGAGGACCCGCCCATGATGTGTGTGGGTTAATTTGTGCCATTTTTGTATTGGGAAGCTAGAAATCCTCGCGATCGGCGTAGTACTAGGTAGATCTTCCCCCCTTCGCAAATCATCCAGTCCGCTTCAACCAAGCCCTTCATGATCCCTTCCACAGCTCCTCCCACAGCTTCTTTGCCTATTCCGACACCACTGCCTGGCATTTGATCTCGACCAGAATCTTCTCGTTGGGCAGCGCTGCAACTTGGACACAGGTCCTTGCCGGCGCTTTGGTGCGGTCGGGCCAGATCTTGTTCCACTCGGCGTTCATGGCGGCATAGTCGCGTCGAATGTCGACCAGGAATACGGTGGCATCGACAACGTTCTCGATCCCGCCACTGCCGTCGGAAGCGCCCCGGATGACGGTGTCGATATTACGTAGCACCGCGGCCGTTTGTGCGCCGCAATCCAACTCGTGAGTCCCGTCGGGCTTGGTCTCACAGCCTTCAAAGGTGCCGTCGGCTCGCCGGCTAGAAATCCCCGAGACGAAGATTGTTTTGGCTGTGCTGGGAATGGTGCGCGCATGCGGGTAGTTGGCGA